GTCTTGTGAGCGTGGGTGAAGTGGTATGGCTGCGATCATCATCGAACCAAAACCACAAGAGCTAGTCAACAGCGGGCTCATTAGGGAGCATGGATGATGTATTAACGTTAACTATTCTATTCGTGTATTTGATTGGACTAGCAGTTTTGCTATGCTCAACTGTACATGCAAATGCAGATCCTTCTCATATTACTTAAGAGCATTTATTTATTTATTTTTTCTAATTCAACAGTTCCACCCTCCCTTCGAATGCACTAATATTAATTTGCTCGGCTTTTACTTTCCGCACACGTGCCATTACATTGAAAATCCATATCCAATATCGCCATGCTTCCTTTTTGTTTTAAATAAATTTTATAGAAAGTCACTCTTTTGCTTTATTGTTTCCTTCCTTAATACCGAACACATATCGAATTAGTTATGTAAGTATGTGTATTTGTATGCCATCACATTTTGCTTACAAAGCAGTCCTTTTTCGGGCACAATAGGCGAATGCTGGCCATCACATGCATACTCGCTGCTTACAAAAGCAGCTAAAGTTGGTGATGTGACGGTGGTGAACTAACCGGAGTTGGAGGCGAATTTATGGAGTTTGCTCTATATAAGCTAGAGTTGGAGTATGCAATCAAAATGATGGTTCGATGGAACCACTCTTTCTATTAAAGCATCTTAGGGTGGGTTAGTCAGACATAGATCGGTGTTCACAATTATAAATATTAGTTTCATCTGAAGGCGACCGAGCATGGGCAGCAATGGAATGTCAGTCGAGCTGAGTATACTTCTATCATAAAAGGAAATGCTTCACATGAATGAAGGTGTCTTAAGATTTTTGGTATTTTCTCTTCGAGGAGGAGAGAATCCAGAGGTTGCTAAATTTGTTCTGAATCGTGTCTTTTGACCAAGCTCATCTTTCTAAGGAATATGTATAGAAAACGCGTTATAATAGATAATTTATAATAAACATTCCCCTTACTGAGTTTGTCCGAACCAAAGATCAAGCGGGTGGATGGCATGTATGTAGGTAGTTAAGAAAGCAGCGTGAAGAAATATAGTGCTATATATAAGTACTTATGAATATCGCTTATCGCAGAATTTCGATGATTGCTTCTCTATTTCCGGCAAACCAATTTTTGACCGCATGCACTCTCTCATTATGCTTTTCCTAGACTCGATTTTTTATAGGTCCCTTGGTTTTGTCATATTATATTTCCTTCTGTTTTGAAATGGTATTAATTCCACACAGATTCGTCTGGAGATGCTACTGACATGGCCAGATCCAAACCCATTTTCGTTACCAGGATCGAGCGGAGAATGTTGAAACCACTTTATCGAAAATTTGAATCGACTACGAATATTTTTAAATAAATGTTCGCCTACAACATACAGACATGGTATTAGATCTGTTTGCATGTTCGTATGTTCATATCTATGACCTCTGCCAGCGTGTTATGTACTCGTCTGTTTGTCCCTAATCCGGTTAGGCATCAGCGATCAGCAAATGTTGTTTGCTTTGATTTCCTTTTTTTTAGAGTTTAGAAGGCACGTCAGCGCGCCTGCGCATACAACATGACGTACACACATGCATACATACATATGAACAAACATACAGCAGTATTTCTACATATGCCTAAAAATGGGTACCTACTGTGTATTTACAATCTAAATTTACAATAACAGCGTTGCTTCATGCCTGAAATTTGCTTAAAGGAGCTCTAATAAGAGTATTGCATGTGACTTGACAAAGACTTCCTCAAGCAAAAGATTCTATCCAACAATTGAAATTCTCTCTCTCTCTCTCTCTTTTTATAAATTGTATGACAAAATTCAGCTGCACGTGTGATTTAATTGGCTTACTCCAGCTGTGAGACTACCAGATTTTATGACGAAAATTTCAAATATATTCAAAAAATCTAAAATTGAGGTTCAAACCCTTGGAGATAGGGAGAGTAAAATGTGTTGAAATGATTCTTAAAAATCCCTCTTAAAGATATACGACATTCATAGACCTAATACCTCGGATGGTACTCATTTTCAGTTTCTTCAATCTTAAAATTGGAAAAAATTTAATATATCTAATTCATATTCCTTTTCTGGCAACATGACACTTCTCTCTTTCAGTGTGGTGAAAAATGAAGCTGCCCACCCGTTGTCTGGTATATTTCCATGCCTTAATCCCTAAACATCAAGAAAGTCAACATATATAATTTTTTATCTCCTCCTCACAGTATTTCCTGACTGCCTGTTCTAAAATTCAAGAAATTTATACCTATTGGTAACTCTTCATACAAAATAATTCAACTCTTCTCCCTACCATAATTTGGTAGAAATACAATCAGGACTTACTTAAAGTCAAGCTTGGTTCTGGCTATACATACATGCGCACAAAATAAAGGTTAATGTGTTCTGAGAGCGAGAGAAATGCATTAAAATTAGACATGTGTACAAAGGGTATTGAAAGTAGAAAACGAAATGCAGCAGAAAAGTAAACAAACGCTTTTACTATATCCGTCTGTCCACTACCCCAGCACACATTCACGCATTCCGAGCTCTCCGGTCCGGTCTTCGATGTTTGCTTACCGTTGAAGTCGCTCTTTCAAGCGAGTGTATTGGCTTGGCTGCCATCGAGTGTTATATGGTTGGTGGTTTTCCTGTATGCCGGCGAGTGGAGTACGGCTCGATTGTTTTCCAACATACTTGAATACGAACGCATGAGTTTGAGTAGCCTGTAGGAAATTTAGAGATCGTATTAATTTATATTTTTTATGTAAAATCGTGTTTTCTATGAAATGAGTTGAAATATTGTTATTGGGATATAAGGAAATATTAAGGCAGTCCTATAAGAACTGTATAACGGCATATTTTGCAGTATATTTTTAGGTGAAATTACAAATAACATTTAATTGAAAAAGAAAAAGTTTAAAGATTTAGACCAAAAAATTATAATAAGCAATAATATTCGTTATTGCTCGATGTTGTTCAAGAAGATCTAAAAAGTAAAGGGCTTCAGGACTTCTTAAAAGGCTGTAAAGCAAGGACAAACTGTGAAAGGAGTTCAGAACTGAGCTCATTGAAAATGGTCTTTTCCTTAAAGAATTTATTTTATTTTTTATAATTATTGGATTTGAATGTTTTCGAAATCCATCTAGACGACATTTTTTGCAAATTCAGAAAATTTTTGTATAAAACTCAATAAATGCATAATTTTGATGATTTTTTTAATTTTGATTTAGTTAATTTCATAAATTAAATTGTATTAATCTCAAATTCGTATAATTATGACTATTAAGTTCAGTAAATAGCAAAAAAATTGAGATTTGTTAGTAAATGTAAATTTTTAATTAATTTTCAAACCATCCTTTTGGCTTTTTATATTTTATTTAATTAAAATTCATGTTGGTGTTAAATTATTTAATAGTGGAATCATTCAAAATTTTATATATTATTAGTTCATTTCGAAAATAAAAATTAAGACCATTTCCGTAACTGGAGGGATAGGAAATATTTGACAAATTTACACTCATAAAATGCTGAAAATTTCTCTGCAAGGTTCTGTCCAACTAAACGCATACTTTGAAAAATATTTACACACAGTCAACACACATAAACTTACAAATAAAATGCTGATATCGCTAAAGAGTACGATTGCATTTTCGGCCGATGTCAGCTAGTTGTTGGCTAGTTGAGTTGGTTGCTTGGTTTGGTGGTTTTAGTTTCGTTTCATCAGTGGTTGACGGTGTGAGACGGTGACGCGCGCATGTTTCTCTACAACGAAGTAATCCAGCAACAAGCTAAGTGCGACTTGTGTTTTAGTGTATCGCGTTGGGTGATTTTTTATGAGTGCCAACTTTGTTTAGTTACCGGTGTATTAATATTATATTATTATTGGAGAAATTCGTGAGAAGGTTTTGAGAAAAGTGTGTTGTAACAATGAAATGATAAATGAATTTTTCTTTTGAAAATAATAACAATGAGGTGAAAAATAATATTGAATATTTTTGAAAACAAAAATGTATATGCCAAACCCATAATATAAATGTTAAATGTGTGAAAAAAAATTGGAATAAAAGACAAATGATAAAGTGAAAAGCAGAATTTTATTTTTAAGAAAACTATATAGAAATATCAAGCTGAGAATATTCCAAAAATTATGTGTGCTAATGATGCTTACAGGCATCTGAGTTGATACAAACCAATAGTGATATATTACCTAACTGGTGATAAATATTCAGAAAATAAATAATTGTGTGTAAAAACTGTGCTAAGAAGCGCATGAAGAGTTCTTTAAAGTAAAAAGTAAGTCGTTATAAAAATTACTATGCTTTTTTAAGGAATATTTTTTTTTTAAAGAAAGGTTGATGCGCATAATAAATGCGAAAATGAAAGAAATAAAATACAAAAATTAAATAAATGTTAAACAAAAATAAAAGAATTACAAAAATAAATAAAAAATATAAAATAAAAATAATCAAAACTTTTGGAAAAATTTTTCATAATTTAAAATGGGCTTAGAGAGGCCTGAAAAATCGTATATTTATGTGCTCTTAGAATATTTTACTATCCAAAATACTACGATAATGGCATAAAAGAAAGAAATATAAATTATCCATTCTACGTTCACAGTGCCTTAATCTGAGCAGAAATTAAATTTACAAAATTTATTAAAACTATTTTAAACACTTATTTAGTTAGTTAATTTCCCTAATATATGTTATCCTGTTATATGAACATTAATTAAATAAATTATTTTCAATTTTACAAATTGTTCAAATTTTTCCAATTTAAAAATCGTATGGTGTAATTTAGAAGAAAAACAAAAATAAATATTTCCATTTTTTTTAATTTTATCCAAGTATTATATATGCACTTATATACTTTTTAATGACTTTTCGCCTGTAACTTTTTTTTTTAATTTTTATATATATTTCTCTTAATTACTATATTTATTCCATTAAATAATTTTAAAGTAGTAATTAATGTGTAGTTTATCTCTTTCTTTACAGCATGTTAATCCTAAAACTCCATAAAATGTTAACGAATTCAATAACATTGCTGTTACTAACAGCGCTGCTGCTCTGTCTGCAGCAATGCACAATAAATGCCTACCGCCATAAGGCGGCCAATTACGAATTATTGGACAATGACTCGCGTTTTATATCATATCAAGGTAAGTGTATGCTGCAATGCATTATATAATCACAAATAACTATTTTTTTTATAAACACTTGGGTAGTTTTGCTAATGCAATCGCAAGAAAAAAAAACATTATAAAAATAAAAACAAAATGTAATTATAAATGCTTTAATTGAAATTAAATGAAGAAAGCGTAAAACTGCATAAAAAAATGCGGAAAGAAAATATGCCTACATACATACATACTATACATACTCATATATATGAGTGCATGACATGCAACAGCCGTTAAGGTTATAGAGTATTAATTAATTTTTTTGACAGTTCAGTTATTTTTGGTTATCTTCATTTTGGCGTTGTTGTTTGTGGTTTTTTTGCTTGAGCCGTTTAAATGTATATTTAACAAGCACTTTCGCTTTCGTGTTATTTATAAATTTAATAAATTTGCCTTTTTTTGCACTTTTCGCTGGCATTGCAAGTGCATGCAAATATTTGTCTTTTTTTTCTGTTTGTATATATTTTTGCATATTTATTTTTGTATTTTACGCAATGTTTTATAAGCATTGCTGCATTTTTTCAACACATTTAAACTAATTAAATATTTAGCTATGATAAAGTTGCCTCAAAAATGCAGATAAGCAATATAAACTGAATTGAACAGTAAAAAAACGTGCTCAGCCAAATATTTAATATGCAATTTACTTGTGGCATTTAAGCGCAATAAATAGTAAACAAGGGGTATTTCAAAAGTAAATCAAATACAAAAGGTTTTGTTAATAAACAGTGAATTCGTTAAGCTTTCTTCGTGTTAAATTTAAAAAGTTTGCATTGCGAAGTTAAAATGAATTTGAGTTTTGTAATAAAAACAAAAATAATTCATAAATTAAGAGCAAATTTGAAATGATACATATAAGAGTTATAACTTTTAAACTTTTTTTTTATTTATTTTATTTGAAATAATAAATAATTTTGTAATTATTCTTTTTTCATTATTCACATTTTATTTTTCATTTTATTTATTTTATTACATTTTAATTACTACTACGTTAAATATATCAAAAAGAAAGAAAATACTATTAGCCTGAGCAAGTAGCTCTCTAGGGCTCAAATTTCAAGCAAATCGAATAATAAATACGAATATCATACTTCGAGATAACTTGGTCTCGGAATGAAAATTTCTTCTCATATGCCATACCGAACTTACGGTTATGATTTTTTCAGTTTGGTCACTGGTTTACTTCCAAAAAAAAAGAATTCTCCACATATTAACATTGGAAAAGAACCAAATACATACATACTACTACCACATAATAAACGAAAACCGAGCCATCGAAACGATCACAGGCTCACTTCAAATAAGAAAAAGTGTTCGATATATTGATTGGGTACCAAAGCTGCCTCTGTAGATTTGTATGTAAATCACACGATAAGTAAAAATGTTTCGAATAGGTGGGATCAACTAACTGAAAGAAAAAATGTTCCCAGTGGTAATGTGTCTAAAGTTTCTACTTTACAAAATATGGGCAAATAATTACTTTTTCATGGAAATCAAACGATTAAAACATAAATTCGATTTTATGGAATAGATTGGTCTCAGAACCACTTTCCGAAAAATCTTTTCTTATCGTTTTCATACGTAATAGGTAGAACAGACACTTCAAGTTTCAAGCCTCTATTCTTTATTTATTTTTTATTGTTCATGCTTATCTTTTTATTTAATGTCAATTTTATTTATTTATTGAATATTTTGTAAATATTTATTTCTCATTTATTTATAAATTTATTTCTTCATTATTTTTACATTATTTTTGTTAATATTTTCAATTTAATTTATTTATTATGGTTTCTTTATTTATTTTTTCTTGATTATTTTGTGAAAATTTATATTTAAACATATTTTTTTAATATTATTTTTACAATGTTCACTTCATTATAATTTCTTTTATTGCATATTTTGGAAATTTTTGTATATTATTGTACTTATTAAATTATTTGTTTCTATCTTATTTCCAATTTTCCTTTTAAAATTTTATTTATTTTTTTCGGTTTTTGGTTAATATTTATTTATGTTGTTTCCTGTTTTGCTGTGACTCATATTTTACTCATTAATTTCGCTTTCTTTATAAATAATTTTCCTTGTAATAATTTTATTATTATTTTTCTTGTTAATTATTTTAGATTTAATGTCGACTTCGAAACGTTTCATCGATCCAAATACGACTTATTATTCGCAAATGTTATTTGATGTGGCGCGAAATCAAGTTATTGTGGGTGCACGGTAAGTTAAACGCGTTATAAGTATATAATATTATATAATATATGTACATATATTTTATCAAACTAATTTTCCTCTAAAAAAAACACAAACATATTTATTTACTCATTATAGTCAAAATTTATAAAATACAAACATATATGAATTTATTTTTTCATACAAAAACGCCTCGATACCTTTGCAATAGATATGGTTACAGTATGACCTCATTTGCTGTATCGAGTTCGAAAATTACTTTTGAGGTTAAGTTAAAATGTCGTAACTCGAGTTCTTTAAGGAAAAATTGAAATGTGAAAGCTTTAACATTTTTAAGAAGAGGCTTTTGGTAGGAAAATATATTCTTTGTTCTTTCAAATAAATACTCGAATCCCATTTTCAAAACTTTTCTATCTCAAGATAGAATTAATAAGGAAAAATTATATTATTTTTTGATTTTTTGAATTGTCTTAACAAAGATCAGATAGTAGATCTATCAAAAAAAAAAAACCAAATCTATTTTTCGAAACCTGAAAATAAAAATTAATATTTAAAATTTATTCCAAGTTAACATTTACTTATTAAAAAAGTTAAGATTAACTCGAAGTTCAGCAGCTCTAATCGAGATATACTAAATTAATTTCTTTTTTATATATTATTTGTTGTTATTTTTTCATGAAATTTTTTTTTATTCTTGGCTTCTTTTCAAATTAATCTCATTTCATAACAATTCATTTCTCAGAACTCCATCGAGCAAATAGACTTATGTGCTATTAATAAAAGAAATTTAAAATTGATTTATTTACTATTTAACAAGCATACATATAAGTAAGTACATTTAGCTTTTGATTTCAAACCATATATTATATTATATTTTCAATAGTTTCCAAAAAAAAAAAAAAAATGTTTTTCTAAATTGTTTGACCCATAACATCGCTTATCAGTCACAAATTTTCTTAAGAGGACACATTTTTAGAGTGTATAAAAAAGCGTCTATTCATTTGAGAGCATATAATCTTACCCTACTTTCGAACTATAGCTGTCAGACAGTAGCTGCTGAATGTTATTAAACAAAAAAAATTCAAAATATAAAAAAATGAAATAGAGAATAAGTTAAATGGGAAAAATAAATAAATAAAAAAGAAGAAAAATTAACGGAAAAAAATTATATTTTATTTCTGTAAACAAAAGCCGCTAAGCGCTTATCAACATGCTATGTGTTAATCTTTCCACCAAATTAATTTTGAATATTGAAAAAAAAAAACAAAAAAAAAAAGAAATGTCTGAAATAAACAGAATTGAGAAACAGCCAAGAATTTTCACTTCATTACAGTTTGATAAGTAAATGGTATAAACCTCGTTGTTATATAGCAAACATACATATGTACATGCCCGTCTCATATATTATATCTCCCCATATACAACCTCCTCCAGGCAGCATATCTTTTGTTACAACATAGTAAAGGTTCAATAAATAAACACATACAAATATACATTAATGTTTGCAGAGAAATATATTATATACACTCGTATATACATACGTATGTACCTATGTACACTCGTATCTCTGTGACACTATCAAACAAAAAATAAAACAACATTGGAAAGCCCCTCACAAGCCGGTTGATTGAAACCATAAGCGCACATAAGAAAAGCAAATAAAAACCATATCTTAAGTAGAAGAGACCCGGTCAGATATGAAGTGTAAATAAATAAACCGCTTCATAATAGACTGCTTATCACAAAAATAATGTCCATAATATTCCATATATTAAGGGTATAAGCGACTGATATATGACGACTCTCGGGTATTATCGCCTGCTATCGTTGGAGAAAATCTAAAGATTAGTTAGAAGTGATTGGTTGGATTTTGAGGCAATTGGATGTGTGGTTAAGGGGCGATAGGAGATTCGACTGGAGTGGGTAGAGTAATATATTGGTAATGCAGACGAAACGTGCTTTGGCTCAGGTGTAAATATTTTTTTGGACTTAAGATATATCTTTGTAGTATTCAAAACATTTAAATATGGAAAATACCAAACCTGCAATGAGGAATAGTTAATTTCTGAATTTCAGATAATTATTTCGACCAATATATGAAAGAAAAGAGTGAGCGAAAATAATGCGTGCTCCCCTTGTACAAAGAAACTCTGTCTGCTCTCATTTAAATTAGTAATTAAATGATAAATCCTAAGAGTAGTTAGGAAACCCCCATAATTTTAGGAGTAATTGAGAACAAGGACGATGGGAATTGTAACTTCATGACTTCCCTCGAGTGCTACCCTTAGAAATACGAAACCTGCCATCAACTATAAGAATTGGCATATTTCATTGAGCAATATCATTTCATTTATTGGGGACTCTACGTATTGTTCAGGTCAGAACGAAACACGTATGTTTAAGGTTTTTATATTTAGGCTACTTCAGATCCATTAAGTTCTAATACCTCTATGCATAGAATAAACGATTTAAAAGCCTTTCAGCTATCACAAGATCTGTAACTAAAGAGAAACCAGCCGCTTGTATGGTTTCTTAAAAGAGCTCAAGTGCCAAAAAAAAAAACATAAATAAATTTATTATCAGGTAAACAGAAAACTTACTTATTGCCAACTTAAAGTTACCAAACTCTTTTTTGTAATTCAAGCATTTTGCCTCTAATTTCCCAATCGCTCTGCATATCTGTCGATTTTATGACTTAATATCAGGTGGAGTCCATAAAATACGTTTAAAAACAACACATGTATATAAATATGCACGTAAATATGTATATATTTTAGATTGTTCATATGTTTAGCTGATTTTAGATGGGAATATTTGTAAATACACTTGTGTGTCTCAGCGGTCATTGCTTATAATATGTGTGTGTAAATGATTATTGCTTAAAATGATAAGCAAATCGTATAGTGAAGAAATCTGCTAAAAACAATACCGCCTAGCGCAATCAAAAGAAGAAGCCAACAAAACAGGAAAAAAATGAAAATATATAAAAAATAAATAAATAAAAAACTTTTGCAGACAAGTGCTGCTTCAGTGGTTAAGACGAAAGTGTAGACAAAGATGATGTGTCAATAAACAAAATAGTAAAAAGTTTCAATAAATAATGGAAATAAATAGGCATAAATAATTAAAAGAACACGGAAATTAAAAATTATTATATATAGAAAATTAAATAAAAATACGGAAATGTACTAAAATGATTATATTTCAGAACAATAAGAAGTGAATAATTTAACTAAAATTTAAAATAAAAATAAAAACAAAAAGGTAATAACAAAAAAAATTAAAAATAATAAAAAAAGGTTTAAAGTAAAAAAATAATAACAAAAAAAAAAATAATAAAAAATAGAATTTATAACAATAGTACCAAAAAAGATGGAAAAATATAAATTATTTTAAAATTAAAAATAAAATTAGAAGAAATTAAACTTGAAGTATACAAATTATAGAAAAAATTAATAGCTAATGCCGCAGACCAGACTAAAGAAGTTATACGTTGTTATTTATTTTTTTTTGTTTTTCTTTTTTTAACTACTACAAAGCAAGTCAACTGATAGTAAAATTATTAAATCGAAAAAAGAAGACACAAAAAACTGTCTACTAACTTACACTATGCTAACAAACGAACGTATTGTATGTATGCATGTATATATGTTTGTGAGTTGGAGATAACAGTTCGCTGCCATATTTTTTAATATAATAAACTCTAGGTAAATAAGCATTTAAATACTATACAGTTAAATATTTACTTTACAACAATTCTATAACTTTCTTGCTGTCTTGCGTACCAAACTGAGTGTATGTATGAGTAAAACATTGTACTTAAATGTATATATTTGTATGTATAGTTTAGTGCATATGTGGTATATGATCAAAGTCTTCAACTATCTTACTACACTGTACTCAATTTGTCAAGTACTTGCACAAGTACATAGATTTACGGATAACTAACAGTCTCAAGACACTTCTTCATTTCATGCTTATAACCTAAGGAACTCAATAGCCTGGTGTTACTTACTACCCAGCCGTTACCAATTAGCCTTAGAAAACAGAAAAAAATGGGTTTCTGTAGAAAAGTTCTTATCTTAACTTGATTTGATATATTAAAATTATTAAAAAAAAAAAAACAATTTATGCCCAGTTGTTTATTACCACGCATCTGTGTATGTGCATATGTACATACTAGCATAAGTTTTTCTTATCAACCGATTACTTTTAGTGCTTACTTCTTAGATACCAGTATGTTACATAGCTTACTATTTTCATAATTTTTTTTTTTTTGATGGCCTCAACCCATATACAATACTAAATTATTCTATGTTGCTGGAAAGCCATCTGATAAAGATATTTTTTTTTAATTTATATACTTTTATTCGACTATAGAAAAAATTAGAAAACCTTTTTTATATTGAAAATATGCTTAACAAACAGTTTTTTTCCTTATGATAAGACAGATATATGTAGTTAAATGTCTTGATATATTTTATTAAATTTTTCAGTTTTTGCCAAAAATTGAACTATAATTTTTTGAGCTTGAATTGAAGAAATATGTATTATAGCTTTGCTTATATAGAAATCACACTAATTTTTGTAAGTCTTTCAGTGATCTTTTTCCATAAATGAATTAATACTTACATATATTTCGAACACATCGCGCCTGGTTATAGATCTGTGGTGCATTTCGTGGAAACAGATTTATTCCCTTAAGGCATGTCATCTAAAAATTCAGCCATAGTGAAGCGGGAACATGTATATTTTTTCAAATAGATCGATCTACCTATCGTAAAAAATATTTTCAAATAAAAATAACAACTAAAAATATGAGTTTTTCGAATAGGTGGATCTCTGTTTCAGATCCCGGAGAGAATATCTGTTAAATAAATTTCGAGTAAAAAGAACAATAAATATGATTTTTTGGAATAGTTCTCGGGAAAAGTAGCCCAACATACATAGTCTTCCTGTTAATCTAAGTAAATAGCCACTTATGTAAAAATATGTGAAGTAAATGGAATCGAAGTTACGTTTTTGTT